TTTTTTTTTTTTTTGAAGAAGTTGACAGTGACAAGTAAATATTTTTCAGTCTGTAATTTTCAGAATTTAAAAAGGTAAGTTCATGCAAAAAATAAAAAGAATACGTATGTATTTTGTCTTTCCGATAAACCCTGTATAATGTACATTAATGCAGTATTAATTCCTTTTTGATCCACCGCTCTTTAAAAAACAATGATGCCTTGGAACTGCCAGTCTTTCTCTTTTATTCTAAAAACTCTTCAGGCTTTAAAGTAAATTTTCAATTGAAGCAAGGGGTCTGTAATATTTTTTGCGTTATTTACTGGAAACTCACAGACAGAAATTTTTAATGCTTTTATTAAACCGACCATTTGGAAAAAGACCCCTCGGTACCTTAAGCTTTCTGGAAGGAGAATATTCAAGAAAAAATTTTGGCGTTAAAAAGTTAATCTAAATGACTATATAGAGTAGAAAAACCTGAAGAAATTTTATTTAATATAGAAAGGGACGGCCTTGAAGACTTTCTGCCTTTTATGGCATAAATTTGGAACTTGGGTACTTATTGCATTAACTTATTATCAGATACTGCGATAATAACATTGTTTTACTATTAATGAATAAATTTTGTTATTCAATCACTGTCAAACCATTCTTCCTAAAGTGTTTCCATTGTAACTAATGGTTGCTGAATATTTAGTTTTATATTTTTCTAATTATTTAATATGAACTTATAACTTACTGCCAATTCTCTTATGTATTTATGTTACTGTGAATACTACTACTAACTCTTATTTACTAGTCTTTTGATTTATAATAATTGGAAAATAATTCCTTATTTTTCCTTAATAAATAACCAGTTTACTGTAATACTGATATTAATAAAAAAAATCGAAGCTCCTTTTTGCTTTATATTATGTTGTATATTTAGTATTTACCTACATGATATAATATGATATGATGTGGTATGATATGATATGATATGACTGATATTAATCATGTTTGTGGCATTTCCATTTTCTTTATTGTTTTTAATATCAATTAACTTGTATACCGTTCTATTAACGCGAATGATTGCTTATTAATTTCAAGTTTATAGTTTCAAGATGCAAAATTGACTATATTTGTAAGTGTAAACTATACAATTTTGATATTGACCCACTGTATGTAAATATTTCTAGTAAAATTATTAGTATTATAGTGGTTTATAGTTGGCAGGTTGGCACATAGCCCACAGCTTTTAGTGACACTTAAAGAACTATGAACAGCCATATTTTCTTAATTTAATGTAAATAGTTAGTGAGTGTGAGTAAACTACTTAAATAATTCGATGATTAGTTACCGATTTACTTAATTTGATTACTCAACTTTATTTTACAATGTTACAGACAGGTAATGGTTTAATTTTATTTGTTGTAATAAAAACATAAAATGCTTTTTTTTAGATGGCATGGTGTATGTTATGAAAAACAACAATTTATAGTATTATTACAATAAGTATAAGTCTAGAATTTATTATGCCCGTTTCATACGTTAAAACATGTACCTAAACAATGTTTTAACCATATTATTTTACTAGTCATCCTAATAACAGAATTTCAAATAACCAATTATGGCTAATAACTTTGATCACGAAGACAAGTCAAGGTAAAGTCTCTCTTTTTCTGTAATGTTAACTCAAAAATATACATTCCATGTTTTAGCTGGTATTTTGGATCTCTAAGTCGTGAACAAGCTACTGACCTGTTAATGTCAGAAAAAGAAGGTGGTGTTTTCCTTGTAAGAAATAGTAATTCTTCAGCAGGAGACTATGTTTTATGTGTTAGGTAAAAAATCGTTATTTTATAAATTGGTGTACTGTACATATACTTTCTTTTAGAGAGGATGGCAAAGTCAGTCACTATATAATTAATAAATTGCAGAAAAATGATCATGTTTCATATAAAATTGGAGATCGGTCATTTTCTGATTTACCCAGTCTCTTAGCTTTTTATAAATTACATTATTTAGATACTACACCTTTAATCCGCCCTGCATCTAAAAAAGTAGAAAAAGTTGTAGCAAAATATGATTTTGATAGTGTGGTAAGAGAATGAATATGTACTGGATGTAGTGTATTAAAATCATGTTTATAGGACACTGATGACCTTCCTTTTAAGAAAGGTGAAATACTTACAATTATTTCAAAAGATGAAGAACAATGGTGGACAGCCAAAAACAGTTCTGGGCATAGTGGCTTAATTCCAGTACCTTATGTGCAAAAGGTATACTTATAATCAGTAGTCAAAACTATAAATCTAATTTGAATTACTAACAACTAATTTATTTAGATAGAGGAGGGACAAACGCCAGAATTTCCTAGGCCAGGTTCAGGCGGTTCTGCTCCAGCTCCTATCCATCATGTAGATGCAGCAGTGAAAAGAAACCAAATGCAGGTAAATAGCAATATATTTTTTACTGGTATATTTATGCCTTATTAAGTTTAATGTGAAAGAAAAACATACTATCTATATAAAATAAAAGAATACTTCTATTTTCCTGAATATAGACAAAAGTGTAAAAATTCGTGTTAGGATCTAATTCTTAATTTATTGATGAAATATATGTACGAATTTTTTGTTGGCATCAAATATCCAAAAACACCAGAATGTCAAAATTATTAAATAAGTCGTGAAAAAAAATTTTTTTGGTAGAATTTATTATAGGTATTCTATATCTGTTCCAGAGAAAACTTCCTGCTCGAGCGCGAGTGAAGCAGGTAAGAGTACCGAATGCGTACGATAAAACTGCACTTAAGTTAGAGATAGGTGATATAATAACTGTGACAAAAATGAATATCAATGGACAGTGGGAAGGTGAATTGAATGGTAAAACGGGACATTTTCCATTTACTCACGTCGAATTAATTGATAACGATAACGAGAGTTAGTGTGCTAATATTGCAACAAATTATATTTTACTATGTATTTGTTGTCACTGTCATGAAGTTATACCTTAAATAATTCAATTATAAATAATTAATTGATTTTATTGTGTAATGTATGTGATGCTTTTGCATTATTTTATTTATACATACATATACTGTTTTTCAGCTACATATCAATGTAGACAACATACTGGATTTTATTTTATTCTTTCAATTTAATAAAATTATACGTAATAGTAGATTATTCTATTTCTTAGAGTTATTTGTTTCTCAAAACGAAAGAATAATGCTTGTTCAAGTAACTTTTTTTTTCATAAGAAAATAATTAGCACCGTACGTGGAAGCAACCCGTTTCACTCACGTTGTTCTTGTGTACTATGCATTGGTAAAAGAAAATAATATATTAACATTTAAACTTTTTTTAATCGAATTAAATAAATTGACCATTGATACAACCAAAATTTCAAATAATAAACTTTGTTTATTCAAACAGTAAAAGTATTTCCATATAAAGTTCTTTTTATGACCTTAGATTCGACTCTATCTTATTTGTTTAAAAAATTATCGAATTAAACAAAAGATCTGGGTGTCTTCTACTAGTTATTGAATGCCCGCATATCATGTTGTTTTTTTTTTTAAATTATATTTCATCGCACTTGTTACTTACGTAAATAAGTTCCACGATTAGTTATCAAATAAAGCATCTACTTATACTGCGATACTGGTGCGAAACTGAAGTCAATTGAGAATTGTGTGACATATTTTTTAAATAAATCGTTGATCCGTGTTGACCTTTGGTAAGATAAAAGTGCCCCCTAGAATCGGCAACGTTATAAAACGCTAATTTATTCTGTATACGTTTATAATCTCCTCGAAAGCGTAGCTTAGCCGAGCATAAAAATCGGTTTGTGAAGTGTATTAAACAAATTTTTCTTCTCCAAGCTGCTGGAAATAGAGTATTTGCTTTCAGAAAGTCTACCAGTGCCTTGTGATTAATAAGAAGTGTTTTTAATTAAATAGTGACTGAATATAGAGTAATGCTGAATAGCCCTAGAGATTGCCTTGGTATCCGGTGTCGTTTGAACAACCTGCATCAAACTTGGAAGTGGCTGCACCAAACCATTGCTCTTCACGACTACATCGTATCTCTTACTTCTTCATATACTAAACCTTATTTTAAATTAGAAAGGTATTGAATTGGTGTAAAGGAGGCACAACAGCTACAGGACTGTCTTAAATTGTGTTGTATATAGTTGATCCAAAAACTTGAGAACCATATACACAAGAAAAATGGTTTTAGGACAGGGTAAAATTTCTAGTTTTACGTTCGCTCTCTGCAAAGTGTCTTCTAAATATTACTCTACAACAAAGACTATTCAAAAATCAGTGTTTATATCGCAGTCGAAAGACGTCTTTGAAAATTTAGCACTTGAAGAATGGTTGTATAGTAATATGAACTTTAAGAATCATCACGTGCTAATGTTGTGGAGAAATGACCCTTGTATTATAATGGGTAGGCACGCAAACCCGTGGGTAGATATTGGTAACAATCAAAAAAGCAATATGCAGATAGCACGTAGACAGAGTGCTGGAAAGACAGTTTACCAAGATAATGGAAATCTTAATTTCACATTTTTTGCGCCTTCTAAACATCTTATGCAAACACACAATCTGGAAGTAATCAAAAGAGCTATATTTAGAAAATACAGTATCCATATAGATGTTGAAAACAATAAATTATTCCTTAGGAACATGAAAGTATCCTTTATTTTAAACTATTAAAAAAAATATTGAGAAGCTTACTGTGAGCAGAAACAAAAGTTAATAGTTTGATATTTTTTATGAAAGAAAATTTTTCCTTAATATAAAATAAGCTAGGTGAAGCTGCCTTAAAAATTGGCTACCCAAATTCTTACCACCATTGTAGTATCAGAGTGGAAAATAGTAAACAAGAGGTAATAATAATTCTTAATTAATAATATTTTAGTGTAATAAAAGTTTAGTTATAAAATAAAAATATTTCAGTTTGAAAAGAAAATGTGGAATTTGAATTGTGAAAACCATAAAGTCACTGTAAGTGGAATGTTAAGTGCAGTGGGATGGGAATTTTTGAGGACAGATATGGTAACTCTAATTGATGGGGGACAAGAAGAAGCAAATAAACAAAAAGGATTTCATATGGTCAATCCTAAAGAAGCATGGTTTCCAGGTACTAAGATGACCATTTTAAATTTGTTTTTTTTTTAATAATATCTTTGTAGGAATCAATTCAATCAAAGAAAAGCTGGAATCGTGGGAGTGGTGCTATGGATATCCTCATGATTTTACAGTAACTCGCTCTTTAAGAATTCCTTTAGAATTTTCAAAACCAGATTTCGATTCAAAGGAGAATATGAAGCTAAAAATTGTTATTAAAAAGGGTATTGTTAGTGATATATTTTTTTTTATTCCGCCTGGTCTAACAAATACCGGTTTTACTGGAGAAGCAAGTGTTATTTCAAATATCAAAGGCCAAAAATTTAACAAACATATTCTTCAATATTTAATGGCATCGTTAGGACAAAGTGAAGACAGTTCTGATAAAGAGAAGGCCATCAATCAACATATGCAAAGGGTCGTGACATCTCTTTAATTAATACATAATTTTATCATTGTTTATTTTGAGTTAATTTGTGTAACTGCTTTTCCATTTAATTAAATTTCCTAAGGACATGCATTAATTGCATGCTTTTATATTTTAGTCGCTTTTATCGCTATTGTCGCAGTGTACAAAATGTGCTTAT